GGGGGGGGCACTGCCTTCGTTTAAGTGGTCGTCTTTAGAGTCCAAATCAAGCTGTCTCCATTCACACATACCAGATAACTGGTTACAGTCATCTGCTGAGGTGTTGAAGATAGCTAAAAACTTACCTCCTTGGTGTCTTGCTATTGTAATTCTCGATTGTATCTGGCTCAACAAACGCTCGTCCTATACCGACCTGAAAAGAGTTCAAAATGACGCTCACCTGCCAGTCAGATACGATAAGAGATCCACATTCTTAAAAAAATGAAAGCAATGTTCACAAACACCTACTTCTTCCGTTTCCCTCCAAATGACTTGCGTGAAGTAATTTGTTCCGCACTGCCAGCCAGGTGTATCGTACTCGTATTTTTCATGTTCTTCATACCAGTGTTCTACTACTGAAATCGAACATGTTAACATTCGCAAGAATACAATAGGCTTGATACTATCTTTATTCGACTGAAATTGGGCTCTGCAAAATTTTCGCAGAGCGTTGCCGCTTCTGTTATAGACCGCCGCATTTTGCGCGGAATGCAACGCTGTTGCGTCCATAAAAGAAGTTAATGACTGAGCAAAAGAAGAGAGAAAACGGCGAGAGTGAACGGGGAAAGAGAAAAGACATTGAGGCAGATTCTAGACTAATTGAAGCTATGTAAGGAGGACTCTCAATGATTAGTTAGGAAAGCATGGACACAAACTTGCTTCAGGGTCCAAATCTCGTGGGAAGAAGGTGATGTTTTCGCCGATTCCGCTTAACTCCTTATAAGAGATGTAAGCCTGCTTGGCCACTCTTTCTGCCCATGCTTGTGCTTGTGCAGCGAGCTGATCATTCCATCGCAAATCAGGAACGCCATGCTGAAAATGTCTGCTTTTTCTTCTTCCTGGGCGAGGGAACGCAAGAGTCTATATTGGAAACTACATGCTAAATCAGAAACTATGCCGCGGATATTTGAGTAGAAACATCATCGTCATGCAATATAATCGCATCGGATGATGTGGGCACTGGCTTATACTCCTTTTTTCTAAAGAAAGCGGCTTAAAGACAGCGTCCACCCAAAAAGTCGATCTTGAGATTT